CTTAAACCCTAAACCCTAAACCCCAAACCCAAAATCCTAAACCCGAAACCCTAAACCCTAGTCCCTAAACCCTAAGCCCTAAACTTTAAACCCTAAACCCTAAACCCTAAACCCCAAACCCTAAAACCCCAAACCTCAAACCCGAAACCCCAAACCCTAAACGAAGGACGACGCGCTGGCCCACTGCGAACTGACCTCGGACAAGCCTCAGCCCCAGGAGATCCGAGGCGCCGCAGTGGAAGGCCTAAACCCTAAATCCTAAACCCTAAACCCTAAACCCTAAACCCTAAACCCTAAACCCCAAACCCTAAACCCTAAACCCTAAACCCTCAACCCTCAACCCTCAACCCTAAACCCTCAGCAACTTGGTGCACGATTTGGGCCCGAAGCCTTGTGCCCCAAGACTAAAAGACCTGGAGTCTTCAGCTCTGATTTCTTCAGGGTTATTGGGTTGCTGCGTTTAGGGCTTAGGGGGTTTAGGGTTTGGGGTTTAGGGTGCTTCAGCCCCATCTCACCATGGGTTTGGTAAGGTTTAGGGACAATTGGGGTCAAGGGTTTCAAGTGTTTTTGAGGGTCTGAGGGTTCAAAATGCTTTGAGTGTTTAAGGCTTCAGGGTCTTCTTGGGTTCCTGGGTCTATGTTGTCTTGGGCTCAGACTTCGGAAGGCTGCAATCCACGGCTGTTTGGGCCAAGATAGTCCTTCTAAGTGCATCGGTGACACAACTCCCCTAAAGCTAGCCTAAGTTGCAAGGGCCGAGTATCCCAAAGCCAACCCTTAGGGCAGAGCATGGGCTTGTCGGTTAGATGTTGTCGCGGCGGCTTCGCGCGCACGGTTCGAGCGCCTTGTTGAGACTTGTGGCCTCAGACCGAACGCAGGTGACTCCCCAGGCTCGGCCCATGCCGAGCATCCTGGGGACGATCTTCCCCATCGTTTCAAGCCAAGGCTTCCAAAACACACTCCACCGCGTGGCCGAGTGGCTGCCGGGCCGGAGAAGAGTGAGATTCTTTCACGCGCTCGGAGACCCGCACTCGCACCTGGCCCTGCAAGCGCTGCCGAGCTTGCTCGATCGCTTTGACGTTGACCTGGAGCTGGTTCTCATCGGCGAGGATGCCTTCAGCGGCTTTGGAGGGAACACGAGGGACGTGCAAGATTGGACGTTCAACGACTGCAAGCTGCTCCAGGAGCTGTACCAAGACCTCGGGCTCACGCTGGGGACTGTGCCAGGGCCCGAGGCGGCCTTGGCAGCGGCGGCCGCGCTCGCCGCCGCATGCCCGAATGGTGGCGCAGGGGCCGTGCCTTTGGATGCAGAGCTCTTAGACTTGGCGATTTCTCTTGGACGGAAGTTGTGGTCCTCACAGTCCTCCCCGGAGTCTGAGGCCCCCTCGGAGAGTGACTTGAGCCAAGTGAAGAAGGTGCTGCAGGAGAACTACGAGCAGCTGGCGCAGAAACACCTGGCAGGAGGCGTCATGAATTATCGGGGTGAGACCTACTGGGGTATAGACCGCCTGGCGCATCTGGAGCGCCGCCTCATCGGTGCTGGTGCGTCCAGGGACGCTGGCTCCCAAAGCTCCGCGGCGATCTTCGATCGCACCGAGCATCTGCGCTTCGAGCCTGGTGCGAAGCTGGGAGCGGAGGCACCGGAGGTGGAGCTCTTCTACTCCTTTCGCTCCCCTTACTCGCAGCTCATTCTCAGGGACCTCTTCAGGCTCTGCAAGCACTATGGCGTGGCCGTGCGCATCCGGCCCGTGGTTCCCATGGCCATGCGCGGCTTCGACGTGTCCAAGAAGAAGGTCTACATCATCAGAGACTTCTGGCGGGAGATGCATCGCCTCAACCTGAACTTCGCGGCCATGAACGATCCGCTCGGAGAGCCCACGCTGCGCGCCATGCGTGTCTGGCCTCTGGCAGAGAAGCACGGCCGAGGCCAGGAGTTTCTAACAGCCTGGGCTGACTGTGTCTATGGGCGGCTTGGCAGCCCAAGCGGTAGCCCTTTTCCCCTTTTGTTGGTTCAAGGTTCCCTTATACAGGAACCAACCCCCAAAAAAGGGGGCCCTTATCATAATGTGTACTGGGCTGTTTAAGGCAGTTCGTGGCTGCTGGCACTGACGATGGCCTCCGTCGCATCGTCGAGGCGGCGGGGCTCTCGTGGGCGGAGGCTGAGGTTTTGGCCAATGGCACCGGCCTACCAGACTTCGAAGAGCAAAACCGGCGAATCTTGTACCTTAGGGGATACTTGGGAATAGTTTTGAGTTTTTGGGCACTATACTTCCTAAGAAACAGCTAAAAGTAAAAATTTAGGGTACTATAATTCCTAAGAAACCGCCAAAACCAGAGATTTTTGCTAGGGTTCCACGTTCAGTAGAGGTACGAGGAGCTGAAGCACTGGGGTGTGCCATGTCTTCGCTTCGGCGACGTGGTCCTCTGGGGTCAGGATCGCCTCTGGGCCCTCGAAGCAGCCTTTCTGAGACGCCTCGCTTCGCCCGCGGAGTCTGCGAAGTAGGGTTTAGGGTTTAGGGTTTAGGGTTTAGGGTTTAGGGTTTAGGGGTCTCGGGGCAACGCGGAAACTTGCGCCTGGCGCCTTGCATTCCTTCTCCCTTGGCTGACTGCCGTCTGCACCGATTTTGTGTGCTGAAGCCGTCCTCTTCCCAGAGAGTGAGAAAGGCGTGGTTGCGCGTTTGGAGGGTTTAAGGGTTTAGGGTTTAGGATTTAGGGTTTAGGGTACAAGGCGCTCTGCGCTTTCCGCACGGCTTGTCCTCTCACAGCAGCTCTGGGACTAGGGTCTTGCAGGACCCTCCCCTTCTAAAACCCAAGCTCCGAAACCCCCCTCCCCACACCCGAAATCTCAACCTACGTGCAACTTTGATTCGGCAACAAACATCAATGTTCCCTCCGAACCACACATCAACTTTCAGAAGCTGAAGGGTTCGCCTGAGGTATTGAATGGCTCAAGGTCGAGCAACATGTCTAGAGCACAGGGCACGCTTAGGAAAATCCTCTCTTAGTTCTTGTTGATGGGGGTCGTTTGCAAGCCCCAAGAACCCTACACCCTAAGCCCAAACCCCAAAACCCCATGCCCTAAACCCTAAACCCTGAACCCTAGACCCCAAATCCCAAACCCCAAAACCCCCAAGCCCTAAGCCTTCAACCCTAAACCCGAAGAGCCGAGGTTCCACCCAAGTGGCTTCGTCGGGAATGTGGACCTGACAATCGCAGGCACCCCGATCATGGGTTTTGGGGTTTTAGGGTTTTTAGGGTTTGAGGGTTTAGGGTTTTTAGGGAATTAGGGTTTTTAGGGAGTTAGGGTTTTTAGGGTTTTAGGGCTTCAGGGTTTTTAGGGTTTCGGGCTTTTAGGGTTTAGGGTTTGTAGGGTTTTGAGGGTTTTAGGGGCTTAGGGTTCTAGGGTTTCTAGGGTTTTGAGGGCTTAGAGGGTTTAGAGGGTTTTGAGGGTTTTTAGGGTTTCAGGGGTTTAGGGTTTTAGGCCCTAAGCCATCCGACATCCGAAATACCCAGAGACCCTGAAACCCCTAGCCGAACCCGAGACCCTCAACCCTGAACCCTAAACCCTGAACCCTAAACTAACCCTAAACAAACCCTAAACCAACCCTAAACCCTAAACCCTAAACCCTGAACCCTAAACCCTAAACCCTAAACCCTAAACCCTAAACCCTAAACCCTAAACCCTGAACCCTGAACCCTAAACCCTAAACCCTAAACCCTAAACCCTAGACCCTAGACCCTAAACCCTATACCCTATACCCTAAACCCTAGACCCTAAACCCTAAACCCTAGACCCTAAACCCTCAGCCCTTCTCCATCTTGGGCCATAAGTCCCTCAACCGTGCGAGGCCCTGAAATCACCGACAGCCCGAAGCATCCTAAGACACATCCTAAAGCACCCAAAACGGGGTTTAGGGTTTAGGGTTTAGGGTTTAAAGTTTAGGGTTTAGGGTTTAGGGTTTAGGGTTTAAAGTTTAGGGTTTAGGGTTTAGGGATGTTCCCTTTTATACTAGGGGGTACTAGAATCCCTATCCAGCACTGTTAGCATAAGGGGGAACATCCAAAGCCCTAGCACCGTAAAGCATCCAAAAAACATACACCTCACTGGCAGCATTCTGCCAAGAGATTGCGAATCTCGGGTGTCGAGGGTTTAGGATGTCAGGTCAGGCAGAACATCGAGCCTTCGAACCCATATCCTGTACCCTCATAATCCCACGCCCGTAGCCCCAAAACCCCAAAGAATCTAAACCCTAAACCCGAATAAGCCCTAAGCCCTAAGCCCTAAGCCCTAAGCCCTAAGCCCTAAGCCCTAAGCCCTAAGCCCTAAGCCCTAAGCCCTAAGCCCTAAGCCCTAAACCCTAAACCCTAAACCCTAAACCCTAAACCCTAAACCCTAAACCCTAAACCCGAAACCCTGTTCCAGACGACTCCAGCGCTTCGTGGTCTCCGGCTGCAAGCCCGCTTCGGCACGGGACCCGGTAGGTGTCGTGGAGCCACGGTTTAGGGTTTAGGGTTTAGGGTTTAGGGTTTAGAGTTTAGGGTTTAGGGTTTAGGGTTTAGGGTTTAGGGTTTAGGGTTTAGGGTTTAGGGTGTAGGGTGCCACGAACTAGATGCAGGGCTTGAGGATTTGAGGGTTCAAGGTCCTGGGTTTAGGGTTGAGAGCCTACCCCCTTAACCCCCCCCTCAGCTCAACCCCCCTCAACCCCTCTCAACCCCCTCAACCCCGTCAATCCCCTCAACCCTAAACCCTAAACCCTAAACCCTAAACCCTAAACACTAAACCCTAAACCCTAAACCCTAAACCCTAGCTCAACCCCCCCTCAACCCTCCCAACTCCACATCCCACCTCCTGAAAGGCGCATCCCGGGGCTTCCTGCTTTCATGCTGCTTGGGTTCAACCCTAAACCCTAAACCCTAAACCCTCAACCCTCAACCCTCAACCCTAAACCCTAAACCCTAAACCCTAAACCTTAAACCCGAAACCCGAAACCCGAAACCCGAAACCCCAATCCCTAAACCCTAAACCCTAAACCCTAAACCCTAAACCCTAAACCCTAAACCCTAAACCCTAAACCCTAAACCCTAAACCCTAAACCCTAAACCCCACACCCCAAACCCTAAACCCTAAACCCTGGGCGAGGCAGCTGAGGGAGAAGGCGGAAGCATCTAAGCCACTCGGCTTCTGACTCCTGGGCAGTGTTTTTCTTTGTTTTCCTTTCGGAAAATGTGTAGGTTTAGGGTTTAGGGTTTAGGGTTTTTTTGGGCTTTGGGGTTTGGAGGTTTCGGGGTTTAGTGTTGAGGGTTTAGGGGGTTGTTGTTTGGGGTTTTGCGGTTTAGTTTAGTGCTTGCGGTTATTGGGGGTTTAGGGTTTGTGGGATTTAGGGTTTAAGGTCCACAGGGTTTGCCGTTCAGGTTTCGTAGGGTTTTATGCCTTAGGATCCTCCAGCATTGTGTCGTTCTTTGCTCTTGGGTATGTGGGATGTTTGATGTTTTCGAGGTTTCATGCTTTAGAGTTCTCAGGCTTCAAAGCGCTGAGTGTAGACCCTGTGAGCCGTTTGTGGTAGGTTCCCTAACTTAGGAGCCCTTGCTTGGTGCACTTATTATAACCCGGGCCCTTATTCTTCTTCTTCTTCTTATCATTGTTATGATTATGATTATGATCATGATTATGATGATGATGATTATTATTATTGTTATTGTTATTCTTCTTCTTCTTATTGTTATTATGATTATTATTATAATTCAGACCTCCAAGTCTGGCTCTTTTAGCGCGTGAGAGGTTGCACAGGACGCTTTTTCTGCGGCCGGCTGAGGGTTTAGGGCTGATGGTTGAGGGTTGAGGGTTTAGGGGGGTTTAGGGCCTAGGGTTGGCTTCGCGAGACGCGAAAGTTCTACGAGAGCAACCTTAAAGCCTAAACCCCAAACCCTAAACCCTAAACCCTAAACCCTAAACCCTAAACCCTAAACCCTAAACCCTAAACCCTAAACCCTAAACCCACAACCTGCTTTCAATGTAGGGATTGTGCCGACACAAGACAGCCGAAGTCCGGCAGAAGAAAGGCGAGCAACCACCAACAGGAACCAATGCACGCGGGCGTTGAGGAATCGGAATGTATCACACGCTGCCTCGCAACACAGTGGTCGAGCAAGTAACACAACCCGAAACTTAGGCCCTAAACCCTAAACCCTAAACCCCAAACCCTAAACCCTAAACCCTAAACCCCAAACCTCAAACTCTAAACCCTAAACCCTGAACCCTCAACCTGCCTTTGTTTGGGGTAGTACAACTTTCAGGTTCCAGCCTTGAGTTCCCCGGGAAGCTGGACAAGTAAGATGGGGGCTGAGGACCTCGTAACATAGGAGCCATGTTGGGTGTATGTTCAAGTATTCCTTTAGGGGTACGAGCTTAAGCTTACCGGTTTAGGTGCCTGTCTAGAGCGAAAAACTAAGAAGCAACTCCTAAGAAGCACTCAACCCCCAAATCCCCGAACCCTAGACCCTAACCCCTAAACCCCTAAACCCCTAAACCCCTAAACCCCTAAACCCCTAAACCCCTAAACCCCTAAACCCCTAAACCCCTAAACCCCCAAATCCCCGAACCCTAGACCCTAAACGCTAAACCCCTAAACCCCTAAACCTCTAAACCCTAAGCCCTAAACCCTAAACCCTAAACCCTATACTAGCCTAAACCCTAAACCCTAACCCCCCCCCCCCCCCCAAAAAAAAAAAAAAAAAAAAAAAAAAAACAATAAAAGAGGCAAAAGCCGGCCTTGGAGCTGCGGATCTCAGACTCGGCGGTCTGCGTCTGAGTTCTTTAGGGTTGAAGGGTTTAGGGGTTAGGGTTTGGGGGTTTAGGGTTTAGGGTTCGGGTTTAGGGTTTAGGGTTTAGGGCTTCAGGGCTGGGTGGGTCTCCACCGTTAAGGGTCTCTGTTCAGGGTTGCAGGGCTTGGTTTCCCTTGCTTAAGCCAAGAAAACCTTGGGTCCTCTCAGTCTGAGGCCTCTTTGAATGTCTCAACTCTAACGCCCTAATCCTAAACCCGAAGCCCTAAGCCCCAAGCCCCAAACCCCCAAACCCCCAAACCCCCAAACCCCCAAACCCCCAAACCCCCAAACCCTAAACCCTAAACCCGAAACCCTAAACCTAAACCCTAAGCCCTACACCATCCTTCCGGGACCTCAGATCAGGCTCCGGGTTCCAGGAAGTTGGCAAGCTGACTTTCCTTTTCTTGTTCGGGTTTAGGGTTTAGGGTTTAGGGTTTAGGGTTTAGGGTTGAGGGTTGAGGGTTTAGTGTTTAGGGTTTAGGGTTTAGGGTTTAGGAACTCTGGCATCCTTCTCAGGGGGCCGTTGTGTCATGGCCCTAACCCTCCAACAGACGAGGTCCTTGTGGTCCCTCTTGGTGGATGCCCATTACAATATCTCCCCTTTCTGAGAGAACAAGAAGGGTTTAGGGTTTAGGGTTTAGGGTTTAGGGTTTAGGGTTTAGGGTTTAGGGCACTGTCCTC